ATGAGGGGCAGCATTGGGTGGGTGGGTACTTGACGTGAACTTCATGAGAGAAAATTGAGCAGGAGATTAGGGCATGTGTTTGAAAGTGCTAGACGGTAACGAGTCATGAAAGCTGGAGGGGATTACCCAACAGTGTATGAATAAGAAATAAAAGGACCAAAGGCAGATCCCTAGGAGACTTCAGATGTCTAAGAAACAAGCAAAGGAAGAAGTCTAGCTAGAGAGGAGTTAGAGAAATCCAGACAGCTTAGTGTTCTGGAAAGGAAGGGAAAGACAACAAATGAAGAAGTGTTCAGGTGGAAAAAATGCAGGAAATGATCCATTAAAGTTGAAACAAAGAGGGTATTACTCCACACAGTGGGACCAGTTTTAGAATGGGGCAGACAGAATGCATATTGCATTGTGTTATGAGGTAAGAAACTGCAGACATAATGTGGAAGCTTTTTTTTTTTTTTTTGCCAAGATTTTCTTTTGCTGCTAGAAGAGGCATGAATATCTTTTGTTTTACCATGTTCTCTGATTTTTTTTTGTTTGCAGGTATGATCACCCTACTTCTGGGCAACCTATGAGTTTAAGAATTAAATGTGTATGTAGAGGGATAGGGGAGGCGCTCTCTTCATTTCAGATTATAAAATCGGGGGGAGGGGAAGTATTCTCCGCCTCTAGGATTAAAAAAAAAATTGAAAAGAGTTTCCTGTGGAAGCAAAGGGGAGGGAACTACTTACCATTCAATCACTTATCATTTTGTAGTGCACTATATTTAATCTGCATAGCATCCCAAAAGGTAGAAAATATTTGCTTCAGTTACAAAAGAGTTGACTAGGCTCAGAGAGGGTTAGTGTACCTGATCACCTAGCTGGTACTCTGTGAAATTACTTAATGACTATTGAAATTATATTTTCTTTTCATACCCCTGGGAACTTGGACAACAAGAATTTCTTCCTCCAAAACAAGACATATTAGCCTGGAGTTCTTGAGAGGATAGGAGAAGCAGCTACTTGGGATCACAGTTAATACTCGCATGTGACTACCCATCTGGAAGATGACAGGCTGCCTTCTGAGAACGAATTGATAAAACATATAAATTAAACAAAGTCCACACCAAAAAACATCCTACACAGTTAAAATTATGTGTACAATGATGTGCATTAGTTATTTTAATGTCTTCCAAGTGCATTTCCTTTTGAGTTATATACTCAGATAGCACACATGTTACCGCGTAATGGAAAAAACATGTAGGGCAATGGCTGCATCCAAAGAATAAACATACAGCTGTGAGGAGGTTAGGAGCCAAAGGGTTAAGCATATGCTGCATTCCCCAGGGATCTCATTAGTGCATGAGTGACCATATATGTAGAGGCTAAATGAGTCTCCCTGTTTGCGAAGACCTGCAGTAAATGAGACAATGATGAATCAATAGTAATTAGGCCAGTAGGTTCTTATTGACCCAGATGTCTGAAACCAAATGCCCTGCTCTGAGATTCCTTGAGAGGCAAAATGGGAAGATTTATACACTTGTGCTTCTTTAAAAAAAAAAAGAAAAAGGCTTTAAGAGTAATGATGAATTCCAAAATTCAGAGTTGCCAGAATTGAGGCAGACTCTTGACTTCTGGAAGAGAAGATGTTCTAGAGACTCTTGCTGTAAATGGGATTCCTGTTGCACCAGCAGCAGCAGAGAACTAGGAGAAAGAAATGCAGGATGTGATCACATTCTCTCCCCAGATATTGTTCTAGCTCGCATTCCATGAAGACCTCAGGGTGGCCTTTCCTAAAGCTGTAATAGAACCATTCTAAAGGAGGGCTTGGCAAATACTTCCTGACCAGAGATACAGCAGCCTAGGGCTTCCAAACCACAGAGAGAAGGATTTAAGCTTGGACAGGTTCTGTGCTTTCACAGCTTTGAGCATCTTCTCTGTAAAGGGATGGTAATGATACTTCCCTCCCAAACAGGGGTGGGGGCCTGGTGCACACTCAGAAGGGCAGCCATTGTGGCTACGGTCGTTGAGCCTTTTCCCAATAAAATCATTCTTCCTTCTATTATGCAAGGCGGAAGATTTTTACAGATAGGAATAAGGTGGTATAGCAAGAAGAAAACACGTAGAGAACAGAAGGGCTGCCCTGGCCTCCATACAGCACAAATGATGGGAATTAATTTGAATATCTCTTAAAGGCCCATGTGCTGAAGACCAGATGCCCAGGATGGTGCTATTGAGGAATGGTGAAAACTTTAATAGGTAAGGCTTAGTAAGAAGACCCTAGGCCATTGGGGTCATTTCCTAGAAAGGTAGTTCTCACATTATTTCTTGAGTTCTCACTCAAGGGTGTAATAAAATCCCAGGTTTGAACCCAGTCCCTCTCTCTGTCTCTTGGTTTGCACATGATGCTTTCTTCACAGACACTCTAGCATCCGCCATGAGGCCCCTCACCAAAATCTGCCTCATGCTGTTTGGATTTTTAGCTTCCAAAACTGTGAACTAAATAAGTCTCTCTTCATAGTAGCTTGTCTCAGGTATTATAGTAATTAAAGGTGATTAATTATACACAGATAAACACATTTACACACACACAGAGCAACTTTATTTTTCTATATTGGAGTTCCAGATAAAATTTGTATTTAATAAAAGAGTTCCACTTGATAAAGGGGAAAAAGAAAAGTTTGAAAGGCACTGCTCTACTTGTTTGTCTTCTTTTGCTTCGTTTTATTATTTGAGAGGCAGAGAGATAGACCTAGAAAATGAGCTCCCATCTGTTGGTTCACTCCCCCAAATGCCTGATATGTCTGTCTCTGGGCCAAGCTGAAATTGGGAGCCAGAGACTCAATCCAGGTATCCCATATGGGTGGCAAGTACCCAAGTACTTGAGCTGCTATCTACTGCCTCCCAGAGTCTGCATTAGCCCAAAGGTAGAATGGGGAGCCAGATCTGGAGCTCAAACCCAGACACTCTACTTTGGAATGTGAACATCCAAACTGGTGTCTTAACTACTAGGCCAAATGCCTTCCCCTTTTTGTTTGTTTTCTTATACTTAGTTTAGGAAACTTTCAGGAAATTTATAGATCCATGGGGATATTTATGGCTTCACAAAACTAGAGCAAGAAATTGCTGAACCTTACTTTTAAAACACTTTCAAAATACAAATCATAAATATGGTCTGAGGTATTTTAGACATTAACCTCCTTGGACATTGATTTCCTATACTTTTTTTCTTCCATTCATCAAGCCATATTTTAACCTTAAAAGCAGTAATTCCAAGGACATCCGTAGAAAATGGCACAAATGCTAATTTCAGATATACCCACTTTCCTTTACAGACTTTTGTTCAGAACTCTAAGAAGATACAACTTTTTTTTAAGATTTTATTTATTTGCTTGAGAGGTAGAGTTACAGAGAGAAAGATCTTCCTTCCGTTGGTTCACTCCCCAAATGGCCACAGCGGCCGGAACTATGCCGATCTGAATTCAGGAGCCAGGTGCTTCTTCCCAGTCTCCCATGTGGGTGCAGGGGCCCAAGGACTTGGGCCATCTTCTACTGCTTTCCCAGGTCATAGCAGAGAGCTGGATTGGAAGAGGAGCAGCCAGGACTAGAACCAGTGCCCATATGGGATGCCAGCGCCGCAGGCAGAGGATTAATCTGTGCCACAGTGCCAGCCCAGAAGGTACCACTTTTAAAGAAGAGGAAGCTAACCAACTTTCATCTTTGTGCCATGCAGTAAGCTTTAACCTAGTTAAATAAATTTTTTTAAAAAATAAAGAAATGGGGGCCAACATTGTGATGCAGCTGATAAAGCTGCCACCTGTGATGCCAACATCCCATATGGGCACCAGTTTTGGGTCCCAGCTGCTCCACTTCAAAACCAGCTCCCTGCTAATGGCCTGAGAAAGTAATGGAAGATGGCCCAAGTGTTTAGGCCCCTGCAACCTATGTGGGAGATCCAGATGAAGTACCTGGCTCCTGGCTTCAGTCCAGCACAGCCCTGGCCATTGTGGCCAATTGGGGATGAACCAGCGAATGGAATATCCTCTCTCTCTCTCTCTCTTTCTCTCTCTCTCTCTCTCTCTGTCTCACCTCCTCCTCTCTGCCCCTCCCCCATAACCCTGAGTTTCAAATAAATAAATAAATCTTTTAAAAAAGAAAATACTTCACTTAGTGGGATACACATTATTATATCTAAGTTATGATTGGGAAAACTTGAAATTCAGAGGGATTAAGTCACTGGCTCATGTTACCCTGCTAGGATAGGCAGAGCAAAGATCAGACTTGGTACTGTGCTGACTCCCAGACCCCATCAGCTTCTCCCTGTCTGTTACCTGAACATATGAGGAAGGAGAGAATTGGTCTGATAGAAACTGAGGCTTACAAAAGGAGAAAGAACTTAAACAATGTCATATCATGGGTTAAGGTTGGAAATCATGTCTGTAACTCCTGACCCTAATTGAATTCACAACATTCAATCACTTTCCTTAACAAACTCCTATCCTAAATCCAGGAACTTATATTCGCCTGCATATATCATTTCATCATTATTACTACAATTAGGCATACTGATTGTAATAAATCCTTTACATATGTATGGTATTGTGGAGGTTACAAAATGCTGCGTCTTTGAGTTATATAATCTCCTTTGATCTTCCCCATTCCCCTATGAGGTAAGTGAACAGAGATTATGCTATCTGTTTTTACAGATGAGAAGGGTCTGGTTCAGGAGGTCTGAGTACCTTTCCCATGGTTGCACACCTACAAAGGGTGACATCATACCTGGACCCACTCTTTGAATTCCAACCCTCCCTTTCCACAGGACATGCCACCTCTTCTTGGTGACAGTACAGTGTGACTCACTCATGTCATAGCTTCTCGGGCTTTGAGGTAGTTTCTTTGCTGAGGCTTTGGGAACCTGGTTACTTTCCCCGGTCTGATATGGAAACACAAATGGTTTCTTTCTGTAGAGCAATCTGCTCCCTGACCCTACTCCCCTTTTAGAAACAAAATTCATTTCTCTTGCAGTTGCCAGAGTGTATATGCATATTTGAACAGTCACCTGGATCTGATTAAGAAGGCTCAGTCTGTGGGTTTCCTCACTGTTGATTTACATGTTTGGCCAGATTTCCATGGCAACCGGTCTCCTTTAGCAGATCTGACACTAAAGGGCATGGTAAGTAACTTGCACGAAGTAAGTCCTTGCATGAAGGTGAAGGCAGACTAGAGGGTTCCAAAGTTTAGAGGAATGAAAAGCAAGGAGAGAGGAGAAGAGGGAAAATAGAACAAAGCAGGCCGACAGCCCACTGGCTTCTTGAAGATGCACTGCTGTTGCAAAGGCCGCCATCGCTGCTCCCGGGGTGACCTGCTGAAAGCTACTGCCTCCCAGGCAACCTTCAGGGCACTAGCAGCGCTGTTTCAGCTACTGCTGCCTCGGTGCTGTGGAGTGGCTGAAAGTTGTGCCTGTGTAATTTTTTGTGTTTATGTTGGTTTTTAAAGTCATGTTTTCCGTCCCCGTCTCCAGGCCGCCCAGTAAACCAGTGGTAATTATTACTGCCCAGGGCCTTGCTTGCCACAGCTACGCATCTGCCTCAGCCCTGAGTCAATGCTGTTCAGAGTCTATGATAATGTGTTTAGGATTTCAGATTAATCTTTGGTTAAAAAAATACAATTAGTAACTTATGTTGGGGGATAAAGTCAGCAATGTTAAATGATCAGCCTGCATCAGGCTGCATTAAATAAAGTTAGTGATGTTTGGGGTCACTTCCCATATGGGGATTCTAGGTCTTCCTGAAGGGGCCAGGCTGAGCTCAGCATTTAACATCAAGGAGACCAGGTAAGACTGTAGGAGGATGGGGGAAGCACGTTAAAGCTAAAGAAGCAGAACTAAGGGACTGGCATTGTGACGTAGTAAAGCCATGACCTGCAGCACCAGTGCATGTCTCAGCTGCCCTGCTTCTGATCCAGCTCCCTGCTAATGACTTGGGTAAAGCAGCGGGAGATGGCCGAAGTGTTTACACCCCTGCCACCCACTGGGAGGCCCAGAAGAAGCTCCTGGCTCCTGGCTTCAGCCTGGCTCATCCCTGGCTGTTGCAATCATCTGGGGGAATGAACCAGAGAATGAAAGATCTCTTTCTTTCTCCATCTCTTCCTCTCTTTCTCTCTTACTCTGAGTTTCAAGTAAATAAGTAAATCTTAAGAAGAAGGAGAATGAGAAGAAGAAGAGCTAAACTTCAGTCTCAAGAGGCTAAGTAAGACCACATATAAGAAAGTAAGGCATGCATGCAGAACCCAGGAGGATGTCAGGAAGTTGAGCATTCCAGTGTGGGGGGAATTACGGCTTCAAGGAATCAGCACAGAGGCTGTGAGCAGTGCAAGTTCATGCACAGGTGGCTGCATGAGAGTAGAACAAGCCTGTTGGCTCCAAGAACCTCAAGACTCAACATACTTTGGTTTTGTGGCTAATTTTAATGAGATTGTTTTAATATTTTTGATGCCAAGAAGAAGACTGGAACTCTATTTTCATTATTTGCTTGACATAATCAACTTTTGCTAATAAAAGGGAGTTATGGTTTAAAAAAAACGAAAAGAAAATTGGACATAGCAAAAGTTATATTTGTCTTGAGTCCAGGAATCATGCTGACAAAACAAATCATGAGTTGGCCTCCTTATTTGACCTGTGGAAGCAGAAGAGAAATATCCAGAGAGGACCATGTGGCAACAGGCTGCAGCTAGGAAGCCGTGCTTTAGAGATAACTAACTCTCTTTGTGTAAACAGAGGGTAGAAGATGAACACATTTTACATGGGTATGAGAGCTTAATGACAGACAAATATCTGAAGCCAAATATAGTTAGATACTGAAAATGTTAGGGAAGTTAAACAGCTAAAATGAAGACACAGCGAGTTTGCATAGCTAAATGATCACAGCTCTGGAGTCAGATAGGCCTAGGAGGTTTCCATGCCAACATCCCCTGTATCCAGCTTCAATAGCCAGCATATCAGGTACCATGTCTCCCAATGCCTTTGTCTGTTTCCAGAAAGGAAACCCAAACTCCAAGAACCAATGAGTTATCAATATAAGTATACATCTAATAAAGCTGACTCAGGTGCAGAATGTTATTCCAAAGGGGTTAACTGAATATTTTTGAGGAATTCCCATCTCGTTAGAATAAGTATGTGCTCACTGAAATGCACTTCTTGCATGGGGATTTGTGCCCAGTTGTACTTAAAGATCCTGCAATGTTTAGTTTTCTAAAAAGTTTTGTTTTATAAATACAACTCATATCACTTCATATTTCTCATTGGCGATTTCCCTTTTTAACTGTCCTTGGGTGAGGCTCACAATGGAATGACTATCACTCCATGAATTTGCCACCCTAATACTGAAAGGAAAAGGTAACCTAGATAAGATAAAAGAAAGGTAATTCTGGGTTTAAGATCCCCCCCAACCTCGTTCTTTTAATCAAATTTTGAATAACATAAAAATAATCTCCCTGAAAGTCTTCTATTATTGTGTTATCCTTTCTTCAAAATATACAACATTATTACTTATTGTTTGCCAGAACCTACAGTAGTATTACATGGGATATCTTTTGCCAGTCCTAAATCTAGCATTTATTCAATAAGTATTCATTGGGTATCTAGTGATACCAAGCACTGCTATAAATATGGTAAGATACAGTAATTCATACACCCATGAAGCATGTTTGAAGAAGAAGGAAGTGTTGGATAAATGTTAATAGCAACTGAAAGTGTCAAGATGATCCCATTATGGCAGGAGCCATATGTAGTTTATTCTTTTAAGCTCCTGAAACATTTCTCTAACCAAATAATAAGTTTTTAACATGTACTTATTGATAGCTTATGGGCAACATGGAGTAAATAAACACATCATTTGTTGCTTTAGAAAAAATAAACATATAAGCATTCTACTGAAACCAAATGGAGTAAATGTCTACTGACTCTTACTATGAGTACATTTGTCTGTCAAACAAATACAGACCCTTTTGTACTTGGTGGTGTCAAAGGACAAAGTACATTCACTGCCTATTGTTCCCTGTTGCAGTCAGGGATGCCAGTCAGAAGAGAAAAGCTTTACTACTGGCCAGCAGGGGACAGGAGAAATGGTTTAAATCTGCCTCCTTGACTAGAGTTTGAGTGGGAACTTGGTGGATTAGGTAGGAGGGAGCTGGTATGTAGAAATGCTGGCAAGGCAAGTGATTGTTGGAGGAGTTTAGAATCAATCAGGCCAACACAGTGTTATCATGTTCAGTGATTTTCCTGAGAAAGCAGGAACTGAAAGGGGCAGTCCAATATCAATAGAAGACATGATTCATTAGACGTAATACCAGCCCTCAGGCATATTACTTACTATCTTTGGAAGCAGGCAGTGTATCTAAATAGGCAATGGGAAGTTGGGTCAAGTTCCAGGTGTCACTCATGGCCAAGGCTGTTTAGATGTAGGGAAGGTAATGCTCAACCTTAGCAGCGGAAAAGTCCTCAGGTAGGAAGTTGGCCCTGAGAGAAGCAGGGAAGAGGATTTGGGAATCATAGAGTGTGTCATGTTCCAGAGGGAAGAGGGAGCATGTCGTATGAATGTCTATGGCCTTGGCTCTTTCATTGACTAACCAATGATGGATTGTACCTAGCATTTAACTAGGGAATAAAGAAAGAAAATGCGTTTCTAGAGACCCTGCTCAGCTGCTTTTCACTTCTTAGTTCCTCTTCCTTCACTTGATTTGTCTCTCTCCTTTGCTCAATTGTCCATTCAGTACATTTTTATTGAGCTCCTCACTATGTGGGGGCCTATGCTCAGCCTATAGAATGAAAAAAAAAAAAAAACACAAAAAATCACCTATCTTAAATTCACATAAAAGTAGGGAACACAGTAACAACTGTATATGTATGAGGATGTCTGTATCTGTGTCACTTAGACAATTATGCAAGCCTAGGAGGTGCCCAATACACATATAACTCTTGCAGTTTTTATTGAGTGGCATTTGGCCAGCAAACCCTGATGCTATCTTCCTCTACTTCACTTGACAATACCAGTAGAGATGCAAACAAAGCATTAACTCATGTCAACTTTGAAACTTAGGATGACATTCAACTAGGAAAACTAGGGTTAACAGTCCCAAGAAGAATTTGGGGAGATTTTTCAGAATCTAGAAGAGTAACAGGGGAAAAATAGTAATAAAATAAATAAAAACATAATATAACTGACAAATATATGGCACATGAACAAAATACACCTACAGTCATGAAAAACTATGAGCTTTTCCACCTTCTGCTCCTTAGCTTACAAACACAAGGTCCTTTGCAGCCAGAAAACAGAACAGCCAGCCCTCTACTCTGCTGCTGCTGGTTAAGTTTTGTCATTAGTTTTGTTGTTTTGGAAGCAGCCAAGGAGATGAATTTCCTAGCTCCTTCTTCCATGACCGGGTGCATGTCTTCCCTTCCATTTCAATACATCTGGAAGCTGCCAGCCCAAGCAGCCTGCTGGACAGGAAGCATGAGTTACGATGAACAGTGATGGCTTGCTTGCCTCCTAAGCTTCCTGAGTAAAACTTATGCTTCTGGTGCAGAGAGAGAAAAAGGTCTGGTAGCTGTGAATTTGGAAAACTGAGTAGAATAGTTTTACACTGTCTGTTCTGGGTTAAAAAGCCAGGCACTGATGATCTACCTCAGTCCTACAAAGCTACACAAAATAAAAACTGCTTCATTCTGATATTGGCATCTAGCTGTAGATCTGAAGAGGCAAACCCAAGTACACCATGAGTCGGGCTAAGACTGGATCATGGGCACCATTTGCTGGGAAATACTGAATATGATGTGTATAGCTCATTAGTTACAGTGAATGTAAATAATGAGTCCCATAGGGAAAACATTGCATACAAAGACAAAGAAATACCATTTTGAACACTGAAGGAAAGGCCTCTTGAAAATTATTTACTACAGAAACTGAAAGAAAATATAAGAGAATGCCTTTGCATATTCAATGATACTTTTTTATAAACAGACCTCTATGAAAAGGACAGACACATTTTAGGAAAAGATGACTTAAGATGAAAGGAAAACTAAATGAGAAAAGGGAAATGATAAAGATCACAAGACAATTAAAAATGCAGTAGCAAAGTTAAAACTTACAGTAAAAGCAATAAGGAATATAATTTTCA